GCTATAGGCAATTGTAACACAATGGTAAATATTTGTGTATCTAAACATAGAAAACATAATACATCACACTGTGATATTAGGACATCTATGACATCAGTAGGGAATAGGAATTTTTCAGATCCATTATAATTTTATGGGACCACTGTCATATAGGTAGTCAGTTAACTGATATGTCCTTATGTGGGGCATGACTGTATTTACTATGTACCAAATGCTCTTTTAAATGCTTTACATCTATTCACCTATTTAGCCTCTTCATTATCCCATAAAATAGGTACTACTATTAAGTTCATTTTCTAGGTAAGGAAACAATCATTGAAAGGTTAAATAACTAGCCCACTCAGCTTTTATTTGAATCTAGCATTCAGACCTGTGTAGCCTGGTTTCAGAGCTCTTAACCATACTGCTCTATTTCTGGTTACCACTGTGTAGCATTTGCAGGCAAGTTTTAGAGTAGAATAGAAGGGATTTATTGATCCTGGGGGTGAGAGAGAGTGAGGCGTCAAAGATGGCTGGATTTCTGGCTTCTTAAAGGATATTATATGATTTCCTCAACAGAAAAAGTCAACCAAAGTAGAGGAGAAAGTTTCCTGAAGGAAAACAAATGAGTTGACTTAGAAATTTTGAGTTTAAGATGCAGCAGGCAATTGGAAAGTAAGGTTTTGAGCTCAGTAGAGAAATAAGAAGTTAAAAAGATTTGTGCATGACTATTAAAGATTAGGTAATTGAAGCACTGAGGGGAAAAAAAAAGAATTAGCCTGAGTTCACAGAAAAGGGGCAGAAGAGAAGAGGCCCAGGATCTGTCATGAGGAATTTAAGGAACAGGTAGAGAGGAAGAGGCCTGCCAAGGAGATGAGGTCAGCACTGCATCAGTGAGGCAAAGGGAGAAGGGAAGTGTAATCATGTTGTTCTTCAAGCATTGGGTCCTTAAGTGTTTTATTTTTAGCATGCTCCTAATTAGCTAATGGGATAGATTTAAGCATAGTGAGGCTTAGTCTTAATAGCTTGAGCATCAATTTTGTAATGTGTGGTCTGCTAACTGCAAAGTGCATATATTCATAAGACAAGTGTTTAAAACTATAACTTAATTTTCTTGCCAGGTGACACTATCAAGATTGATCAAGATTTACTATTAAATTAAAAGATGTAACTTGAAACAACAAAATGTCAAAAAGTCATGGAGGAATGATGCCAAAGTATAGAGTCAGCTTTGGTTCTTTCTTTTTTCTTAGATATCAAAGTTGTTATTAGTCTAACATAAGCTGTTATAACTATAACATGTTTTTTGTAAGCTTCATGGTAACCATAATGCAAAAGCTTGTGAATGACATACTAAAAATAAAGAGTGAGAAAGCAAAATGTCAGGCGTAGAAAGACAAATACGACATGATGTCTCATAGAAGTGGACAGTAGAATAATGGTTACCAAAGTCTGGGAGGAGAGGCGTGTGGTAGGAAGGAGGAGGGATGGACTAACAGGTACAGAACTATGCCGTCTACCCTAGGTGAATCATTGTGCAGTATATGCATGTATTAAAACAACACATGCCCCACAAAAGTAAATAAAATTGGGGGGAAAAGATTTACTATTAAGCTGCTTCGTGTTAAATGGTTCTTTAAAAAAGCCATATGAATAGTAATTTGTCCTAAGACCATAGTGTCGGGTTTCTCAATCTTGGCATTATTGATATTTTGGACAGGATAATTCTTTGTTGTGGGGACTGTCTTGTGCATAGCAGGATGTTTAGCAGCATCCCAGGGTTTTACCTGTTAGATACCAGTAGCAACCCTCCTAAGTACCCCAGAAATGACAATCAAAAATGTAACCAGACATTGCCAAATGTCCTCTGAGAGGTAGAGGGCAAAACTGCCCCCAGTGGAGAATCACTGATATAGTGGGAAAAGCATGGACATGGGAACTGGATAGACTTATGTGCAGGTCCTGGCTCTGCCACATTTCAGTTGTTGAACGTTGGGCATGTCATTAATCTGTAAATTTAAGCATTCTCATCAGTAAATTGAAGATAACAATCTTACTCTGTAAGGTTGTTAGTGTTAAATTGAACAAAGGACAGCTTATTGGTTAGTCAGCTACCCGTAACAGTCATAACTATTCGCCATCCTCCCTTCCCCTAAACCAAAGCTGTGAAGCATTTACACAGTAACTCGTTACCTTGCATCTGAGATTATATATTCATCAACTCATATGCAAAATCTCACTCAAATCTGGGATTCATTTTATAGTTAATTTTTCTTCAGAGAATCACTCATAGAGTAGTAGACCTATGTAAAGAGAGAGAAGTGCTTAGTTAGAAAAGTAGAGTCTCACTGGAACTAACTGAGTTTAAAAAAGTAAATGTAGACTTAATAAGTATTGGTGGGATAAATATTTAGTAATTTGGAAAAAAATTAGTAACCGTATACCATAAGTTCCTGAGAAATAAAATCTCAAATATTAACAGTCAAGCCACACAAAAAATAGAAGAATAGAGAATATCAAATCTTTGAAGGGAAGATAATTTGTTAGACTTTAAAGTAACAGACATCATTCAACCTGTATTTATTGAACACCTACTTTGTAACAGGCCCTACTTTAGATGCTGGGAATAGATATATCAGTGAACAAAAATCACTGCCCATATGGATCTTAAATTCTAATGAATGAAAACAAATCCATACATGATAAGTAAATTACACAGTATGTTAGAAAGTGATAAATACTACAGAGAAAAATAAAGCATGGTAAAGGAGATGGACTGTGCTGGGTGAAATTGCACAGAGATTCGAAGGAAGCAGGGATGTAAACTATGGGGCTATCTGGGAAAAAAGTGTGCCAGGCAAAAGAAATAACTAGCATTAAAAGAATTTTCAGATAGATCAACTGAATTTTCTGTCTCATTGGTAAAAAAGCACCATTGTTTTGCTATTTTTAAAATCTAGGACTTCATTTTGTGCCATATTCCCATGTTAAATGTAATTTTTTAAAAAATCAAATGAAGGTTTATAAGTGTTTAGAAATTTATTTTAGGCCTAAAAGCAGTTGAAGAGGGATCAAAGGAAAAAATTACTATATTTGGCTATATAAAAAATAAAGACAACCAAAAAGCAAATAATTATTTGTCATAAATACAACTAAGTTAACATTAACATATAAGGAGTACACGCACATTGATAAGACAATAAATGAGCAAAGATGTGAACAGGTAGTATTTCCTCTTTTGTGATCTGTTCACATACCCCAACATACTCTGTTGATAGTTCTTCAGGACATGTTAAGCCTCATATACCTTTACACATTGCTGTTTCAGAGCCCTGAATATGTTTTCCACCTATCTGTGCCTGACCCATTTCTCTGTTTCTCCAGCAAGCCTTAGCTTAGTCATTGCCTCTTCTGGGAAGCCTCTCCTGCGTTCTCCAGATGGAGATGATGATTCTCTTGCTATACCTCTTACTCTACCTTTATTATCTTACAAGGCTGGGGTCAGGAGGAGGTACTATATTTGCAGTTTTGTCCTCTTCATAGATTGTTTTTTTAAGAATGAGCTGACTGTATACTCCATGAGGATAAAGATCTGATCTTATCTGATGTTTTTCTTGCTTTATTTCTAGTGCCTAGAGTATTATATAGTATATGCTTGGTAAATACTGATGAGTTGACTTACAAAGCAGGCCAGAGAAGTAGAGTATATTGTTGATAATTTTGAAAATCAGTAGCTTTGGGCCGGCCCGGTGGCGCACTGGATAGTGCGCCACTTGGGAAGCGCGGCGGCGCTCCCGCCCGAGGGTTCGGATCCCACATACAGACCGGTTCCC